GCTTCACCCTCCGTTCTCCTCCTCCTCGCTAAACTCCTCCTCCACTTCGCTCTCCAGGTGCTTTGAGATCACGGTCGGCTCGCACATCTTCGCCGCCGTGTCCTGCTCCTACGTCCTCGTCTTCTTCCCTCTCTGCGTCTTCATCCTCCACCTGGGGCTGCAGCGGTTGCGGTCCGCCTCCACAGCGACAAGCAGCCTGGACATCTTTACGTTCAACATCATCGCCATGGAGATGATTGGCGTGTTGGGCTGCTGCTTCTACAGCTACAGCATCTACACCTACACGCCAATGGTAAAGCTGGTGGGGGTTTATATCTTTAGCACCATCACAGCTGGACAGTTATTGTTCCACATCCTCACCTGCTTCGAGCGCTACCTGGCCGTCATTCATCCCGTTCTCTACTTGGGTTTGAGGAAGGCGAGCGGAGACAGACTCAGAAATATCAGCATTGGGTTTGTCTGGTGCTTTTCCTTTGGGTGGATGGGAGTAACAGCTCAGTTCTCCCCCAATTTACCCACAATCCCCATCAGTGTCCTCTTGACCTTCTCCTTCATCGTCACCTCCTTCTTCAGCCTCTCCGTCCTCCGCGCTCTGATCCGTCCGGGGCCAGGGGAAGGGGGCAGGGACAGGGCGGGCCAGCTGAAGAGGAGGGCGTTCCACACCATCACCGCCATCACCTCTGTCGCTGAGGTTCGGAGGACAGCTGCTGTTTTTCCTGCTGGACGTCTCTGCGGTGCTGAGCCACAGGGAGGCTTGTGTGTTGCTGTTGTCCGGGATCATTTTCTGCGTTCCCAGCAGTTACGTCCTGCCGCTGCTGTTTCTGCACCGAGACGGAAAACTGCCACGTTTCAAATACGAAGCTGAAACAGGCCGAGACGAAGAAAGACGATGTAAATGAAAAACATTTGAAAATTACAGGAGGTTAATTTAACTGCTTGTTTAAAATCATCTTAAAGAAAAAAATGAGGTTTGCTGTGTGAGCTTAGTTACACAAACAGATCAAGGCTTCTTCCACTGGTTGTGTTTTATAGTAAATACCATGTTCCAGTTTTTTTTAATATGTTAAAAAAAAAAAATACTGATAAATATCAGTTCTCTGAATATGTCTGATTATTTTCAACATGATCCATGAATTATTCTCTGAGAAATCTTCATTACCGTCTTAACATGTTAAAGAAAGAGAGAAAAGAAATCTGGATCCGCCCCCGGAACCAAAATATAATAAGTGCTTCCTTTGGTCATGTTCCACCCCTCCACAAAGTTTCATGCAAATTGGTTCAGTGGATTTTTGCATAATCCTGCAAACAAACAAAAAAAACATACAAACCAACCAACAAACACAAATGAGAAGATAACGTCATTGGTGCAGGTTATTAATAACATGAGTTATTTAGCTCGTATCCAAATTATCATGTTCACTTTTATTCCCCTTTAAACTGAGCAACTACTTCTACTAATCATAATTATTATGATAACACTGTGATATGAAATGAAAAAAAAAATAGGCCATGTGTATTATTTGTGTCTGTATCATTTGGTCATTTGAGATTACAACATAGATAAGATAAAAAAAGAAAAGAAAACATAAGATAAGATAAGATAATCCTTATCCTGCTGCCTTGATGCTTTAAAGTATTTGATATTAAAAATAGAATGATGAAGATTTAAATCCCGTCTGAGTGTAAAGGTGCTCTGAGCTGATTTGCAACGAGTTTAAACACATTTTTTATTCAACTTATTTGATGGACAGATTGAGGCAGCGGTGAGAGATGCTGTATGATGAGCCCTGTGTCCGTCCTGCTGGAGTGTCTTTGAGCATGGCGCCGTGCACGCAACCCTCAGCCCTGAATTTGCCTTCAAAATGATGAGCAAATATAAATAAATGAGTTTTTTAACATGCAAAGAGCCCACGGTCATGTTACAGCCTGTCTGTCACACACCACCGTCATGGAACACACACACACACACACACACACACACAGATGTTTTAACAGAACACACCACTGTTCATCACTCAGTGATTCTGGAGACACAGAGAGCAGAGGTTAGTTCCTTTAATGATCCTTCAATATTTTAGAAAACATATTTAGTTTTAACTAATTTTTTAAGTTCAATACGTTTATGTTTATTGTTATTATTATTATTATTGATATCAATATTAATATCATTATCAATATTATTTCAATAATAATATTAATAATAATATATTAATGATCAATAGTGCTATTATTAATAGTAATAATAATAATAATACATTCTTCATACATTATAGTCATTGTTCACTTGTTTTCATGAATTCACAAATATTTTCTATCCACATCTATCTGTCTGTCATACTTTGTTCCCCTTCCTCTCCCTCTTATCTCTTTTTTTCTGTCTTTCTTTTTATCGTCCCTTCTTCCTTTCCTCCTTTCTTTACTCTTCTTCAGTACTTTCAAATTAAAGGTCCTGTTCTTGACAGCTGGACTTTTAATGTGAAAAACCTGGTGATGAACATGTGAAACGGTGACAGCAGATTTAACATTTCTGTTGTTTTAGATTTAATACACATGATTTTATTATTTCTTTCTCCAGCTGCTTGGAAATGTACGATAACTCCTCCTCCCCTCCAGACGGCCTTTCTCCTCATCTCCGCCTTCCCCTCAACTCCTCCCATGACTCCTCCCCTGTCAGCTGCTTCCTGACCACACCCAGTTCCTCCATCTTCACCGTCTTCACCTTCACCAATCTCCTCCTCCTCCTCCCTCTCTCCATCTCCATCCTCGTCCTCGGCTTTCAGCATTGGCGGAAACAGCGCGGCGACGTGGCGGCTAATCCCATCGACGTCTTCACTTACCATATGATCGCCATGGAGATGATGGGCATGTGTGGGTCGATCTCCTGCTGCTGCGGCACCCTCCTTCGTCACATGAAGATGATCGGTGTGGGATGCAACATGTTCGCAATCATCTCATGTGTGAAAATGTTCTTCCACGTCCTCACCTGTGTCGAGCGGTACATGGCGGTCGTTCACCCAATCACGTACCTGAGCCTGAGTAAGGGAGGCGGGGTCATGATCAGAAACATCAGCATCGGGTGCGTGTGGTTGATTTTGTCCGTAGTGATGACGCTGAGATTCACACTCACCCAAAACTTCAACATGATCCTGTTTTTCTGTAATTTGAGCTTCTCCCTGATTGTCGTCTCGTTCTGCAGCCTCGCTGTTCTCTGTGTCCTGATTCGCCCAGGGCCCGGGGAAGGCGGGGGCAAGGAAAGCACCGACAAATTAAAGCGCAGGGCATTTTTCACCATCATGGTGATATTGGCGGTGCTGTTGTTGAGGTTTGGGGGGAATCTGGTCTGTCAGTCTCTGGGGGTCTCGTCCATGTTGAGCCACAACATCGGATGTGCGGTGCAGGTGTCGGGGACCTGGTTCTGTCTGCCGAGCAGCTACGTGCTGCCGCTGCTGTTTCTGAAGCGGAGCAGGGAAACAACTGTGTTTTAAAAAACACTGAATCTAAAGAGCAGAAAGAACAGGCAACTTTGGGGGCCACTAAGTTTGTATAGAAATAATTGATCATGCAGCTCGAACACAATTAGGAGAAAGTTACATCTGAAGAAAAGTGGTTAAAAGGTATCATGTCAAAACATATTTTAAAATCATGTGAATCTTATGTTACAGCAAAGTTATCCAGGAGTCAAAGTTAGAGAGCACGTCTGCATCCTCTAGATTAAAACAACTCTGAGGGCGGCCATATTGTAGTTAGAGAGAGGCACGGTGGTGTGGTGGTTAGCACTGTTTCTTCAAAGTAAGAAGGGTCACGAACTGATTCCCAGTTCATCAGTCTTCTCGTGGGAAGTTTGCATGTTCTCCCCGCCTCTGCGTGGGTTTTCTCCGTGTGCTCTAGCTTTGAATAAGGTTTGTTAAACTTTTAATAAAAAAAATAAAATGTGTTCCTATTGTTTGGAGAGATGGTCGTCAATACAAAGAAAATTGAAGTCTGTCCAACCATGAAATGTTTCTGCTCTGGTCAACTTAAAAATAAACCTATTCAAACAGCTTCTCCTTCGTGTTTCATCATTATTGTTTAATGAAGCACAAGTAACATGACAGAGTTACTTTCTTTTAACAGAAAACAGAACGTTGAATCAACAGATGAAAAAATAACATGTTAAGTAACCAGAAGAAGTAAATCAATTAACAAACACAGTAGTTTTCTTAGTATATAAACTGTTGTAAATGTCCGGAAACCCCGCCCCCAAGGTCTTTCATATATAGACTGAATGAAGATGGACGACACGTCTCCACTTCCTTCCACTCTCCACGAACAAAGCTACAATAGCTTGGTTACAACGCTGCCATCTTGTGCCCATGATGTCATTCAGATGCATTCGGATGTTCTCAACCAATCAGGAGTCAGTGTCCGCTGTCAATTATTACACCTTGTTTTTATATCATCAAATAACAATAAAGCCAAACTGATGAGAAACATGAACACGTCAGTACAAGGTGCTCCAGAACACAAAACAGGAAACAGTTAAAAAGCAAACAATGAGAAACAACTTGAGGGCAGTTTGAAGATCACAGAACAACAGAATAAATACAGAAATAAAAAATGTTAGTAAAGTAAAAACTAGATTAAATAAAACATTATAAAAATGCATAATTAAAACAGGGAAAGAAGATTAAGATTAAATAAAAATGTATTTTTCATACCAAATCAATTAAACATTATTTGATTTTGAAAAAGGGTTTATTTCATATATATATATATATATATATATATATATGTTTAAGATTTCCTGCATTATTTACGAGAGATACACTGTTGTGGCAGGTGCTGAAAAGTCCTATGTTTTGAGTTGGACTTGAATCTCTCATCCTCCCTTCTCCCTCTGTTCATTTGTCAAACCAAGTGTCAATCTCTGGTTGGCCAATCAGAGAAGAGTATTCCGACCTAACAGGTGCGCAAAGGGGGCGGGACTTATTAAGAAGGAAAGAAAACATGAAAACCGGAAAACAACCGAGATGCTAACTGTTAGCTGTAGGTAGTAGTAAGTTAACCTGAGCTAATGAGCTAAAGCTAATAGCCGAAGTTGTTGTCAGTGTGTATTGTGTTATACCTGAAGTGTAGGTTGGGTTTTGTAGCTGATTTCCGCTCAGTGATTCAACTTAACTACACAGACGCCATTTTTTAATATGGAGTCTTGCCTGTCGGCTGTCAGCCTCACCTGTGGGCACCAGAGGAAACAGTTTCTCAGTGAGTATGGACACAACATGTGAAATATGGACATCTACAGTAGATACAGGATGTTTATCAGTGTCTGTGGCAGCTCAGGGGAAATGTGCTTTTACCTACCAGCTGATTTTGTGTTATTTTACAAACCAACAAACAACTGAGGGGAGTTAACTCCGATTCAAATGAAATGTTCATTTGCATAAACACCGATGACAGTGACAGACAAAAGCCGAATGGATTAATAAGCAATAAACACATTCATTTATGTGAAATATAACAATGAATATAATACATTTACGAGGCCTGACCATCACACAGACGTCCCTGCATCAGTAATGTTATTATCCCTAATATCCTGCATTTATTCCTTTATGTACAGAATCAGTGTATTTTTTCGGAAGCGTCAAGCTGCAAATCCTTGTTCTTCTAGAATCCTGTGTGACTGAGTCGTAAATAAGGATCATTTATGGTTCCGTTGTTCCAAATCTTGTCTTGACAAACAAAATACACAAGTGCCACAAAGATTTGTTTACCACTGATTTTATTTTTCTGCGATAGTCCTATTGGCTTTTTGTTAAGGGATCCATGGTGATGCTATAACTTCCTGGCTGGCCTACATACATTCTCTCTCTAATCAGAGTTGTACAAACAACATGGTAGTTTTCCCACTCTGTGTAGAAACAGCAGGGGTATCACCAGATTGCCGGGGAGAGAGACGAAGAAACCAATTGTCACTGGCAAACAGTCGTCGTTCACCGCTTTAGACTTGCTCAGTGCAAAGCTAATCAGAATCCCCACAAGCCACACTAAGAGCACCACCAGTATGGCCATGGTGGTGTAAAATGCCCTCTGCTTGAATTGGTTAGCCCTGCCTCCCTCCCCCGGCCCAGGACGTTTTAGAGCATGGAGAACAGAGAGGCTGCAGAAAGTGACGAGCACCAAGGAGAAGACTAAGAAGCTGAACACTGGGCTGTCGCTTGATGAAGGAACGTACATGTAAAATAAAGCCATCACTGCAACGCAAAGCAGCAAAGCAAACCCACTGCTGATATAAATGATCTTAACTGCATTCCGACTTCGCAGGCGCAGGTAGATGACTGGATGAACAACAGCCAGGTAGCGATCAATGCTGGTCAAGCAATGGTAAAACAATTGTCCAGGGAAAGTAACAGAAAAAGTAATTAAGAAGGCTATCATCAATGATGGAGCATTGGTGAAAGTGATGCAATAGTTGAGAATGGCCACTATGACGTTAAGTATCTCGATAGTGACCATGTGGTAGGTTAAGATATCAGAGTGGCTCAATGTTGCACCAGGACATCGCTGCCGCCATCGCTGGTGACCCACAAAGAGGACGAGGATGCAGAGTGGGAGGATGAGGAAGACTTTGATGATGGCGAAGATGCTGGTGGAAACCTTGGTGGAGAAGGTGTCAATGCAGCTGCCATATTGATTGAAGTAAGAGGAGTTAACCGACATGACTCGTCTGAAGAGGAAGAAAAATAATAATAGCAACACAATCAAACGGAAAAAACCCAAAAGTCAGATCCGGATAAAAAAAAGAGTCTGTTCTGTTAATTTATTAAATATCTAAAAATAGTTTTACGGTTGTAAAATATAACATATTCACGCCATATTTACTTAGTGTTCTTTGTCTCTGATCACACACTTCCCCTGTTCCACATTAAAAGCCCTACAGAGGTTTTAGGGTATTTTATTGTGAAAGATCTGATCTAAGAAAAACACAATCCAGCAATAATCAATAAGACACATACCTCGGTCGTCAGTAGCTCTCGTGTGTGTTCACGCTTTCTAGTCCTTATGTTTTCTAACCACTAAGCTTACGTGACAGACGAATGGGAACAGGGCTGTGGTTGTAATTTTTGCATGTTGAGTAAACTTCATGTTTTGCTGTTAAAGCAGTGCCTCATGTAAATTGAACCAAGCTAATGTACTTTCCATAGAAGGCATAAGCTAAATCATGTGAGGTGTGAAATGGGACTATGTGAAATACACCAGTGGTACTAACTTATCTACTTTGTAATATTTGTCCATTTAGAGGGAAAGGTAAAGCTTAGTTGACTGTATACTGCAAATATTAGAAATGAAGCCAAATATTCCAGATATGAACGCTGCCATCTTGCACCAGTGACTTTATGTGGAGTCTGTGCAGTTTCCCACCAAAAACACATGTTCGACTAAATGCGAGTCAGTCTCAGTCAATTACAATGTTTTTATAGAATAACATTTAAAATGACCTTGAATGATTTGGGCCATGACTCATCTCCTAACATGGAGGAGGCGGGGTTTATGACCTATACTGCATCCACCACTAACACTTCATCAGTCGTCAGGGTCAACACCTGCGTTATTATTGTTTCCTCTTGTTGTCCCTCAGGCTTTTTATGGAGCTGCAGTTCATCTCTGTTCTCTTGAAGTTTTTCTTTTACCATCGAGTCCGACGACAGCTGACACTCGACCGCACTCAGACCAGGCTGACGTTCATGGCTGCACGACACATTTGAATAGACACCACTTTTAGTCACAGGTCATTTGAGTCTTGTCAAACTGGTGATAGATGAAGCTTTGCTAATGTCGTTGTTGAAGAGCTCTCGCTACACTTGTTAGAGAAAAAAACTGAGATTGGTCATCCTTCCTGGATGTTTCTTGATTTATAAATCAAATATTTCATTTTCTTTGGCCTGGGGTTTGGAGATGATTTTTCACCACTATTAAAACAGATTTATAAGGTACATGCAACCTGGATTCACATGATCCACATGACTTTACTTGGTCAGACTTGAGACATTTCAGATATTAACTGGTGTATGTCCTGGTTCATTCTTACATGAACTCACTCTGAAATTCGCAGCAGGAAGAGTTTGCATTCCCACATACGGCCCGTCTAGAAAACTTTAGTCGCTTCAGTTCACATATGAAAACAGCTGTACTTCAGTTTCTGCAGTTATTGTTAATCTCAGTTCAAGCTGCATATTCTATGTTAAAATAGGTGTCTTTTTCTTTATCCTGAATTTAGCTCTAACCGACGTAGAATTGCCATAAACTGCTAAATACACAATGTTGCCTTCCACAAGCTGCACATGGCCCTGTTCCATGTTTGCACCGTTTTGGCCAGCAGAGGGCGTCTTTGACCACCTGTACTTTTCTGCCTCTGCTCTAACATGTGATAAGGACTCATTTTGAGCCCAGTGGGAAAAGTCAGAGGTCACATATTGAAATCACGGCTTAATTCCATTTAGTTGCGTCAGGCTCCTGGTGTTGTGCATGCAGCCTCAGTGCCACCTGCATGCAGGAGAATGGTTGGCAGCAGATGTTAAAAGAAGCCTCAACAGGAAGTTAGCAGTTATGAATTCAGTGATTACTGACAATATACAATTTTCGTACATAAACAAACTCCTCAGGCGGAATTCATCAGACCATCTTTAAAATCTGTGAATCAATCTTGAGATCTCTCTGATGAAAAGTTATGAAAAGATTGTGTTTTGTTGAAGGGCATGTCCAAGGCCTCAGTTGTTGTGTTTTGAGTGTATAAGGTCAGATAGTCCCCAAACTTCACATGAGTCTCAGCCTAAAGACAACTACATGGCAATATCCAGTCATAGTCAAAGCGCCACCTACTGGACACATGCTTTGTACTCGGTGGCCGCGAGGGCCCCATCATCCCTTCATTCAGCTTTTATCACTGTTCCTGTTGTTGTCCTTGACCTTGGTTGTGCATGAGATTGCAGCATGGCTAACTGCCTACACTCTAAGTTTAACTGCATTCAGAACGTTTTAGTTTCCCTTTCACACTTTCTTTACCGCAGCCATCAAATCTAAAAATGTCTCTTTGAGGCTCCAGCTCTCAGCCCCTGCAGTGGCCCCTTGGTAAACCCAGTTGATCAGATTATTTCTGCACCATAAAAGTATTTTTGGGGGAACAAAATCTGCCTCTTTTTAGCTTGTTTGTCTCCTGTGCGACGTCGCAGGCTCTTTTTTTCCCTCGATTCATTCCCACATGCCCTCTCGCTCTATCTCATCGCCATCTCGCTGTACTTCACCTGTGTGTGTCCTGTCTCCCTGCGGAAATGAAAAATGGAAACCGCATTCATCCGATGAAAACACTCCCCCTCTCCTCCCCACCTCATCTTTTCTAACGCCGTCACCCAAACACTGAGCGGCGTTCAGGCACAGACGGGATGAAAGTGTGGCGGAGCGGGCACAGGAAGTCGGGGCTGATGGGATTGGGGCTGCAGTGTTTTCAGGATGGGACGCTAATCTGTTTACCAGCTCAGGTGAAAGGAGGATAGCGGATGCTTTTTGTGTGGAGGTGGAAGCTGGAATAGAAAAGAATGCAGCTCAATAGAATCCATTCACTGTAACACAGCTCTGACTTCATCCATCTATCTTTTTCATCATCTCCTCCTAAAATTGATTGCTCCAGACTGGATGGACATTCATTTCACTTGATCTTAATTAATATGAGTCCACTCCTGCTTGTCACTCAATTAAAACAAAGGGTTATTAAAGACAACACCAATGTCCTCTGTCACGCTTTTCCCAAACACATGAATCCAGAATACCCAAACATAAAAAAAGGGGATTCTATATGTGCTTCACTGACATAATGAAATCATATCAATCTTTACAAATCCTTTCCACCTCGTTGTTCTGCAAGATTTTATCTCATCTTCCTGACTGAAAGGTATCTTTGGTATTGCCTGGAGAAATGAGAACGCTGTGAAATCTTCGTTGCTCTTTATTCCCCCCCAAATCTTTGTAATTTTTCTTCCATCCATCAGGGTCACGGTGAACTCACTCAGCCTCCTCCAGTCTCCGCAAGTGTGTGTTTGTTTGTGAGAATGAGCCGAGAGTGTGAGCAAGTTTTTAGATTAGATGTAAGACTGCGTGTGCGTTCGTGTGCTTCCCTCATCTGAGAGCTGAAGTGCGAGGGCAAGGTGACTTTGGCGTAATCCGGCAATTTGGGTTTTTGCACACAGAAACCTGAGGCGAAGCACGGACAAAGGAGGAAGCTAAATGGCAGCACATGCATAGGGAGAGAGAAAAGCTCCAAGAGGGGAAGACGAGAGGAGAATGGAAACGTAGGAAGAGGCAGAGAAAGCTGATTTTCTAATCCTCCAGTCACAAAGTCTTCTATTCACATGAGACCGGCTTTATGGAGTTATGTAAAGACATCGCGGAGTTAAGAGCCATTTCCTTCAACCTCTGCCCTCTGCTGAAGATATCGAGCTTGTGACCATTTGAGCGCACCCCAGAGGCCACTCAGTAAGGAGATTATGGGTATACACTGATACCCTGTATCGGGCAGACTTGAGCTGGTGTTAAAGCTGCTATATGCAGCTAATACAAGAATAAAGTACAGAATAAGTTAGATATTTATTCACCTGATGCTTACCTCTGCCTGTCCACGGACTCTGACCCTTGCCTGACCCTTCGGTTTGTCGCTTCGCTTTTTGAGCAGTGTTTTCCTGCCGGTCCAGAAGTTTGAGTTTGAACCCAGAGGAACTGCAGCAGATGATAATGGTCGCTGTTGGCTGATCTTTCCCTGGCAGCCACACTGGCGATGCCACAATCACTGTGACGGAGATTTAATCAGTGTTCTGCTCCCTGCAGACCATGCCAAACCATTTTCATAATGGCTGGAATGATTTCTAACCCTGACACAGATCTGTACTGCATATGAAGGCTGTTCTCCCATTGTGATTTGTCTCATTCTTCTTTCTGCTCGTCTTGATTCTCCTTCTTTAAGCTTGGTGCAGTTTTGATGAAGAAGAAACCTCTGTGACTTTTTATTCGAAGTTCCAACATTCAACTGTAGTGACCTTTTCCAATTCAAAATATAGATTTTAGAATCGTAAGAACATCAGCTTGACCTATTCGATGCTCTCTTGACCTGTCAGTAAAGTAAGTCAGTCATTTTCCGTGGTTGAAAATCTATAAAATTGAGGACCCTAACAGGCAAGGTCGTCGTGACACCAAGGCATCTGTGAAGCGAAACGTGTCCGTGATATGGGTTCGACTGAAGCTGGCTAATTGACAAACAGTTTATCGACTTTGCACAATAGATCACATTTCAATGACGGCAAATATGCGTGGTCACCTGGTAGTTTTCACTCAATGACGGCAGTTGAAGTAGCGCCACAGATTAGCATATAACTGATTGCGTGTCATGTAAAACTCATTCATACGTGACTTTTGGAAAAGCTGACGATTATAGCACACGCTTATATATGTATATATGTACACACACATGCTAATTTGCTGCTCGTTGGAGCAAAGCGACACAGTTGACGAGGCAAATCTCAGTTTAACCATGTCACTGCTGACACCTGCTTGTTAACACTTAATGGAAGGAAACAGGAATGAGGAAGTCAGGGGAAGAGGAGGAGCAGTAAGAATAGTAAAGAAAGATTAGGAGGCTAGGAACAGGAGGAAATACATAGTAGGAAAGGAGGTCTGTGAGGAGGTGAAGTAGGATGTGGAGTAGTAGGATGAGGTGAGGGTTCTCAAGGTTCCTGGTGGAGGAGAGCATGATGAATAAAAGAGTGATAGGGAGGATGAGGGGGAGAAGAAAGTGATGGAGGAGCTGTAGATGTGAAGGATAAGGAACAGAGTGACAGGAGAAGTAAAAGGAAATTAATTGTCTGGTAGAGCACTTAAGGTTTTGAGTAGCAATGCATTCTGAGGGCACTTAGTAGTGGATTCTACTGCATTGGCCTCTTCTGACATTTTTTAATTAACTGTTGCATTGTGGGATGTTGATGGACTGAGGGTATAAAGAAACATGGTCTTTGCTGTCTCCTTCATTGGTTGAGCTTGCAAGATAATTCTTAGCTGTTGCTAATGCTAATGTAGCTCGTTAACAATTAAACTGGGGTCGGTAATCCTGGAAAAGCTAGCAAGAGCAGGCTACACTTTAAAATAATGACACCGATACATCCCACCCCCTTCCATCGTCAAAGCTCTGTCCCAAAAACACATGCGTGTGTCTCACCCTGTTTTTATATCATCAAATAACTAATGAAAACCAAACTTATCAGACACATGAACACTTGAACATACATCAGTGTGATAAGAGCTATTTTTTTTCAGTTTGGCCCGTGTCCCATCTGCTAACATGGAGGAGACCGGGTTTATAACCTATACTCCGTGCAGCCACCAGGCAGTGATCAAGATCCTTCAATTTTTGGGGGTTGTCATGTCGTCCATTTTAATTTACAGTTAAGAGGTCAGAAGGACATTACACATTTTACACACACACACAATGAACTTTTGAGGTATGCTACCATATAAGCCGACGCCTGCAGACAAGCTGTGCTTTAAAAATAAGTGTGTGTGTGTGTGTGTGTGTGTGTGTGTGTGTGTGTGTGTGTGTGTGAGTGTGTGTGTGTAGACACTGATTAAGTTCAGACACACACTTGCGTCACAAAACTTCACCAAGCTGCTGTCCTGGAGAATGTCACATACTTGCACAACCGTCTTCTCTCTCTTTGCTTCATTTCCTTCCTCTCCTCTCTTCTACCTCTCCTCCATGTTAATGCTCCCCCCTCTTCACTTCCTATATCTCTTAACCTCTCCTCTGTTCCCTCATCCATCATATTCCTCCCTTCTTTGATCCCTCCAAGGTCTGCCCCTCTTTTTCTTCGCCTTATTTCCATCTCCTTCGTCCCCCCCCTCCCTCTCTCTGTCTTTCCATTCATCTTCTCATGATGATGCAGTAATTGAATCAGGTGTCCCATGGATACTGACTCCCACACACTGTGCAGAACAAACAGACACACACACACAAACACGCCGTACCAGGCCAAAGCAGGAGTAATGGCCGTGGCACCAGGTGTCTGTGTTATGATGGATTATACGTGTTCACATGCACACACACGCACGCTAACACACACGCCAGCACACGCTAACAGACATTCATTCTTTCCCCTTATAGAATTTAGCATCAAACAGAATGAGTACATGTAGTGAATACATGAGGTTGTCAGTGTCCTGTACTCTCCGGCTCTTCAGATTATGACAGTAGTAATTCTACACTGACGTCACCTAAAATGATAAACTGTAATAAAATGTAGAAACTCTGTAAGTCGTCTGCGGGAAGACTTCGTTGTTTGCATGATTCTCGTGTGGCTGCAGAGGGCGCTGTTGCTTTGTGAAAGTTGCATAGTGGAGCTTTAATGTTTTCTTTATTGTCTTGATATGTTTTATTATCTTTTTAAGCATGTCTCTGTTTTATTCCTGTGCTGCACTGTATGTTATGAATAGTTAATGACTATTATTACTTTTTTTTTTTTTTTAATGAATCATAATCTACGAATTCATAGATACATTTGCCAGGCTCAGGGAGTAATTGGTGAAGAGGTTGTAGTCGTCATGTGTACGTGGAGGAGCAGAGAGTGAAAGTGCGTGTGAAGCAGCCGCAGCGTTTTATTTGATTCCTCCTGGATCCAGAAGGAGCTGCATGCGGGGGATGCGGCTGTTTTCTCCGCCTGCAGCCTGCATCATTTATTCAGTCATTTTATGTGAAATCTATTGTTTTCATCACCTGTAGCTGCAGAACTGAGGCTGAGGGAAACATCTCCTCCTCTCATCTCCTCCTTTTTTCCCGCAGGAGCAGCAGCGGCGGCAGGAGCGGCAGGAGCGGCGGGATGGGCCGCGCGGAGAAGAAGCGGCGTCGGCAGCAGAGTCCAGCCGGCGCGAGGAGCGCGAGACGATCCCACGGAGGAGAGAAGGGCGTGTGAGGAAGAGGAGGAGGAGGAGAAGACAGGAGGAAGGAGGAGGAGGAAATCCCGCGAGAAAAGAGGAGACGGACGGACGGACAGATTCACGCAGAGAGAGAGAGAACCCGCCGCACGTGAGACCTCGGGGAGAAGGGACTAACCGTTAATCTGGAGAAGAACGAATATTTTTCTATTCTTTCTTTTTTTTTTCTCCACGCACACACGGAGAGAGGTCTCCGAGGAGAAAAGGTAAGAAACAGCCAACAGCCACTGTCCTCTTCTGTTTCCCTCATAAACCCGCATCAAACCCGCATCAAACAGGATGAATTAACACCTGTGAGCCTCCGTTAATTGATTAATTAACTCTCCTCCCGCTGTTCATCACTGAGGTGTGTGTGTGTGTGTGTGTGTGTGTGTGTGCTGTACCTGTGATCAGCCCTGCAGGTGTATCAATAAGAACATTGTCAGTAATGTAAGCTGCGCCATGATGCGTGAATGTGAGTTTAAACCGAACACAAGCGGTTTTTCTTTACTCCCACTTTTGATCCTCACAGAAACGTGTGTGGAGCTCCATCCCCTCACTGTGGCATTATTGTTGTTGTGTTGTTGTTGTGTTGTTGTGGTTGTGTTGTTGTTACTGTAAGAGCGGCTCCATTCCTCCCACAGGTCCGGACTCAAGCCCACCTTCATCAGCTGTTTGTTGCGCTTCCCCACGCGCACACGAGTGGTCCTGCGTGTACGTTGTTTACCCAGAATCCCGTTTGATTTGGCACACCGGAGACGCACGGTGCGGGTTCATTGTGAGTTTGTGTGTGTGTGAACATGACACTGTTGTTGAGTTGGAGCCGCTGCGGGTTGTGTATGCGGAGAGAGATGCTTTGGGTGACTGGTGGGTGGTTCATGTTCCCTGACTATTGACTAATGCTGGAAAGAGACTGAGCGTGCGTGTGCGCGTGTTAGTGTGTGTGTGTGTGTGCGCCTGTGTAGAGGAGGGCTGCAGAGTTTGTGGGTCCCTGTTGGCTCTCCCCTTTGCGCGTCCGTGCGCACGATGAGGATGGAGGTTGTGCTGTTTTTGCGCGCGTCTGCGTGCACGTTGCTGTGAGTTGTGTGTTTACACATAGACCTGTGCATGTGTGTGTATTCGAGCGTGCATGAGAGAGGAAGAAACAAAAGAAAAAAAGAAAAGCAGAGATGGATGGGACTGCATAATGTGTGTGTGTGTTGCCTTGCGTCTATGTGCGCGCGTGCAGGTAAACGCAGCGCGCGTTCGCCGGCCCAAAGGGTTTTCCCTGCATATTAAACCTCTCACCATGCAGCCCTCCTGAAGAGTTCCCCCTGTTCACCTGAAGCACAGCCTCCCTCCAAATGTCAGGCCAAACATTAAGTTTCTGCTGCAACACACACACACACACACACACACACACACACACACACACACACACACACACACACACACACACACAACAGCAGCAGCAGATGAAAAGTATTTGTAATCATTCATCTTGAGATTCTGTGTAAACACGGACTCCTCAGCAGTTTAGAAACATCCAGTAAATCTGAGACGGTGAATCTATCCCACAGTTTATCACACGTTATCACAGAATAATTATTATTTCGGTCGCTGCAGCTCAGCTCTGTGTTTTTTCGGTCAAAACCGTTTTCACAACATGAGAAACAGTTCTTCCTGTTGCTGAAGCAGTTCATTGATCAATCAGATTGATTCTTCACTAAATAAAATCATTCATTCTTATGAAAACCACAAAATATTTTCTGGTTCCAGTTTTTTTTAAATGTGAGGAGTTGCTGCTTTTGATTTTATATCTTTAGACATTGGACATGTAACAGGACCTTGGGGGGCCCACGTAAAATGAGCCAAAGTTTTTTCTTTTTAAAAATTAGACAAGATAGCGGACACATTTTAAGGTCCACTCGGTAGTTTGATGTTAAGTCTGATTCTCTTCATCAACAGCATCCTCACTTATTATCACTTAAACATTCAAACCTCGACGAATCCACAATTATATTCAAGGTACCAGGACGTTTCATTTTGTCGCCTTTTAATTGCGTCATATCCTCTTCTGGTTCCAGTTTTTAAAATATGACACTTTACTGTTTTTTTCGGTTTTCGGCGAAAAGGTCCAAAGGGGCCCGACATCGAAACAAACTGTGAATGTTAGAAATAATAAGTTGATGGACAAAATACAACTGTTTTGAGAAGATGCTGCACAACTCACAGATTTATGAGAGCGGACAACAAATCATGGCAACATTTCTGCTGCGAGGACCAATATCCACCTCTTTTATATCTCATCTTTGACACTGAACATCTCCCACGAGTTCACATTTTCTTGTTTTTCATCTGTGTGATGTTTGTCCTGATGGTGCTGATTGCGTAACGGATCACACCTCAGTGATCCGTCCAACTGTTACCGCAGCAGCTGCAGAGATGGATGCATCTGAAATGTGCAGCTTCTGCCAATCTGGCATGGCGCACAGTGTAGGTGTGTGTGTGTGTGTGTGTGTGTCGTCTTCCAACTAAAACACACAAAAAATAAGAAAACAGCTATGCAACAGTCAGCAAGAGCTGGGGCAAGAGAAACGAGAGGAAAGATTTATAAAGAAAGGATGAACGTGGTGAACACAAAGAGTGAGAAGCTCTTCGAGAACGTGTTTGTTTAAAGAAAGGATTCAGACAGAAGAGGAACGTGGATCATATCTGAGCTGATATGATTAGAAAGTCAAAGTCTCTCACTGGTTTTTCCACTTTCAGCTGATTCTCATCAGTTTGTGTGTCAGGATGAGAAATGTCAGCTCCGTCAGTACGAGTGTGTGTCTGTACATCTGCCTGTAGTCGTACTGTAACTCTGCTCTGTTGAGCATTATCAGCAGATGGTGAAGCCTCACGGTTTATCTGAAATATAGACATGAGAACGAAGAGCACCTGGAGCCCTGTGTGTGTGTGTGTGTGTGTGTGTGT